GAATCGAAGGGCAGGAAGAGCAATAAAAGTGATTTAAATTAGTAAGTGAACAAGGATAGGAAATGAGGTCACCCCAGATGTCATAATGCACTTATTTACAAGTTCGTATTATTGATTGCAGGTGACAGGCGTCAGGTGAGGAATTGCAAGTTGCATGATCTGCTTTTATGAATGATTAAAATAAAAGCATGTTGTCATAGCACTCAAAATGCATGAACCTGAGATTCTAATTCGAAGTAAAGAATGTGAATTTTTACCTGTAGAGCATTTCAAAAATAAAAAGTTCTCAAAGTCTCTAAAAGTATTTGAGGAAATTAGGGTGGGAGAGGGGTGCACCAAAAAAAAACAAGCGCTGATTGACTAACTCTCAAATCAGCAGTTAATCCGATAACTTAACTGATTTAATTTTTCATTGCGCATTAAGCAGCTTAAAAAATCGAGATGGCAAGATCAAAGGAATTCTTACTTTTCTTCTCAGGTTTCTAATAGTAGCCATATGGGTGACAAGGCAACCTGCCAATTTATAGTACTGTCATTAAAATGCTTCGTTCGTTAGCACTTTCTCATCCCATTTGCATTTTAAAGTGCCATTGACATTAGGCATCAATTGAGCCGATCACTAGTTTTCCCGCACTCAATTGTTTTGATGCTGCAGAAATCACGGAAATGTTTCAAATTACGGACCAGTAATCACATCACACCCCTGCTCTGGGCATTCTAAGCCACAAAATATTTGTGTAGAAGCATTGGCTAATTCCAGTTGCGAGCTAACTCATTGCTTAAGAGTAGGAACACCTTTTCCATGAGGAGTTGCACAGAGATTTAGTCAATGTTCCCTTACAACTCCTTAACTTTCATTTGACTCCTCGCAGCCCAGTAACAGACCGTTCAATAGCTGGTAAGAGGGACTCCTTATTAGGCGTTCTTAAAACATACTCCTCCCAAAGGCCTGCACTCGCATGTAAGACATGATGATGGTTTTATAAAGTGCAGCAATAACAAAATATAGCATAATGTAGGAATTAGGGAGTTCAGTACCTCTGTATACACTTGCACGCATTCTCTAGAATATGATATGCAACAAACACCATCATCCTGATTATCAGTAACCACAGAACGTCTTCTGTAAGAATATCCATTACTTTAATACTTGTGTGTTTAAACTAGGCGCGTATAACACCGCCAAGTACGCCTCGTACCTACACTAGTGAGATGCCAACGCCAAGAACCACAACGACGACAACGACCACGGAAAGCACACCTCGGACCACAACTACCACAACCACTCCAAAGCCCACCCCACCACCAGTTTTGGGCAAAGAGGGTCCTCCAGGTCCTCCCGGACCCCCTGGACCTCCCGGTCCCCCTGGTGATCCAGGTATGGACGGTGAACATGGTCTTCCTGGTCCACCAGGTCCTCGTGGACCTGTAAGTTGCTTATTGTGTTGGGAGGAGCTTCTTTAGTTTATGGGCAGAGAATAAGTGTTTAATTGTGCTTAACTTTCATACTTAGCCACCTCCGGAACTGGAAGATTACCTGAAACGTCAGCGAGCGATGACTAAGGGACCTGATTCTGAAGAAATTGCAGCGTATCAGGAGCTTCAGCTCACTTCCGTAAATAATTATTTAACATTAGAAAGAAGACCGAAAGTTGGCATAAACTAATTTCCTCTTATATTGCTAGGGTCCCCCGGGTGAGCAAGGTGTTCAAGGCCCCCCTGGTCCGATTGGCATTCCCGGTCCACAAGGTCCTATCGGTCCCGTTGGTGATGTTGGACCTTCTGGACCCCAGGGTGTTCGTGGTCCTCAGGGTCCAATGGGTGAATTCGGTCCAGAAGGGGAGCCTGGTCGCAACGGTGTTAAAGGCCCTCGTGGTGCTGTTGGTTCCATGGGTCTTCCTGGTGAACCTGGACCTAAAGGTCCCACTGGAATGCGAGGTGAACAAGGGGAACCCGGTAATCAAGGTCCCAAGGGAAAAATGGGTGACCAAGGTAGGAAAGGACCCGCTGGCCCCGCTGGCCCAAAGGGCGCTATTGGTCTCCGGGGGCCCCCGGGTAAACCTGGACCCCGTGGAGTATATGGACCTCAAGGTCCCAGAGTAAATACTAAATCTATTTGCCAAGTTTGATCTCATCTCTCAAATATTATTACTAATGCATTTTTCGTTTGCCAATGTAGGGTGTCGATGGACCTACCGGTGCTCAAGGTCAAACTGGTGAGCGTGGTGAACAAGGTCCTATGGGTCCAGTAGGCTTCCAAGGAGCCGAAGGTCCGAAAGGAGCTCCTGGTCCTATTGGTGCAAAAGGAGAGCCCGGCTTCCAAGGTCCACCTGGAGCCAGAGGTCTTCCCGGTCTCACAGGCCCTCCTGGAAAACAGGGAAAGATGGGACCTGCGGGTATTCGAGGTGTAAAAGGTGAAACTGGTTCCCGAGGTCGAATGGGACGCCTTGGAACCATGGGAGCTCGTGGTTTCCCCGGCGCCGATGGTGAGGAAGGACCACCTGGTGCTAGAGGACCCGAAGGCGCACAAGGTCTTCAAGGTCCTCAAGGTCAACCAGGTCCTGAAGGACCAAAGGGACCACCTGGAGACCAAGGACCCCCTGGTGCTCAAGGACCTGCGGGCAAACGTGGACCTCGTGGTGACGCGGGTCCCGTCGGTCCGAAGGGCTTCATTGGTTCTCGTGGATTGCCTGGATCTCGCGGTACACCTGGCCCTGAAGGTCCTGCTGGTCCTGTTGGTTTACCCGGTGATGCTGGTGCTATTGGTCCTCTTGGTCAAAAGGGTCATATTGGTGATGTTGGACCTGCTGGTCCTCGTGGTTTAACTGGTTTCAGGGTATGTTAAGCTTTATTCACTTTTTAATTGATAAATCATTCCGAGGAACATCATAGTGATGAATGGCTTTTATCGTTCACAATAGTTAGTAAGAGTTCAAATTCTGGCTGCGAAAATGTGCTAAATTGTAGCAAATATTCAAAGAAACGGGTAAAATCCAGTAGACGTATCGTGAGCTCGCGTTTTATTAACTCTAGCCTCCGGTGACTAGGGTAATTTTGACTTATACTTAAAGCAACTGAAATTTGCAAGTAATATTTAACCTTAGGGTGGTCGAACAGAGAAATTCGAATGAGTTTCTCAATTAAATTCTAGGATAAGGGGTTGGAGAGTACTCTTCCACTGGGTAGTTCACCAGTTCATGGCCCGAAGTTCAAATTCAACTTCTTATAATCTGAATTATTAATAAAATTCTTATCTGCAGTCTTCTCGGCTCAGTGATTAGTATTTTGCACTTACGATAGTAGGTCTTAATATACTGCATACTTTCCTCTTTCCAAGGCCGAAAGTCTTCATTATCCAAAAGACTCTTAAGTTTGTTTAGGTGGCCTTTTCAAGGCAGAGCTGGAAGAAAATTTCATTCAAGATGAACTCTAATAACGTGAGGGATTAAAACTTTGGTTCCAATTCTTAAACTATTCAGTTTTTGATTTCAGGGTCCCCGTGGTAAACGCGGAGCCGAGGGACCAACAGGAGAACCTGGACCTAAGGGTCCGGTCGGAGCTCCTGGTAAACCTGGTGTCGGAGGTCCTCAAGGTCCCCAAGGTTCAATGGGACCCCAAGGTGCACAAGGTGCCCGTGGTCCAGCTGGTCCAATGGGAAAGACTGGTGAAGTCGGTCCTGTAGGTCAACGGGGTCAACAAGGAGACCGAGGTGCTAGAGGGGAGGCTGGTCCTCCTGGTCCTCATGGACCCTCTGGTGCTAAAGGTGCCCGTGGTCCGAGTGGGAAACGCGGTCCAATGGGTCCTGAAGGCCGCCCTGGTCAACAAGGACCTGAGGGATCCCCTGGTAAGCAGGGTGACCCAGGTGCTCCTGGTGAAGCTGGTGAAGTTGGTCCCAAGGGCCCTGCTGGTGAACGTGGTGCTCCAGGTCCAATGGGTGCCGTGGGTGCCACCGGCGCTAGGGGTGAACGTGGACCCGCTGGTGATGTTGGTCCAGACGGTCCGGCTGGTGAACGCGGTGAAAAAGGTCAAATGGGTGAAATTGGAGCTATTGGTGTAGCTGGCCCCCCTGGTAACGCTGGTTACTCCGGTCCTCGTGGTCCCACTGGTCAAATAGGTCCAGTTGGACCCCGTGGTGACCCAGGTCCAAGAGGACCAGCTGGAGAACGTGGTGATGATGGCCCTGTTGGTCCTCAGGGTCCTCAAGGTCGTCCTGGTCACAAAGGCCTTCCTGGAAATGTTGGTAATTCTGGTGACGAAGGCATGCCCGGTGACGTGGGGGAGCAGGGTCCCATGGGTGAAATTGGTCCTCCTGGTCCTTCTGGTTCTCCTGGTGAGGTAGGGCCGAAGGGTGTGAAGGGTGAAAGAGGTCGACGTGGTAGAAGAGGTGATACTGGAGACACTGGACCTACTGGGCCTGCTGGTCGGCCAGGACAGAAGGGACATGTTGGTATGTCAGGTCGTGAAGGTGATCGTGGCTTACCTGGAGAAGTTGGAGATATTGGTGAAGCAGGACCAGCTGGTGAGACTGGTCCCACTGGTCCCACTGGCGAAGCCGGACCTGTAGGTCTTCCGGGTCCTCCTGGTCCTGCAGGACCTAAGGGTGAAATGGGAGACACAGGCCCATCCGGTCCCCCGGGTGTTGACGGTGAACCTGGAGATGATGGTCCTGAAGGTCCTCGCGGTCCGCGTGGTGAAACTGGTCCAACGGTAAACCTGAATTTTAAAACGAGCTTCATCTACATTTAAGGTATGTTTATTCACACATATGGGGTTGTTCATTATAGGGTCATGTTGGTCCTATTGGTCCTCGTGGTCATACTGGGCCTCAAGGTCGAACCGGCCCAGTTGGTCCTGCTGGTCCAGCTGGAGAAATGGGTAAAATGGGGATGACGGTAAGAAAATTTCAAAAAATCCCTTATGTCTGTTTAACTTTTACTGTCTACTATTTATGCTGACAGGGTGCTGAAGGTCCTCGTGGACCTCGCGGTCGTCAAGGTCCAATGGGACCCCAAGGAAAAACAGGTCTTCCTGGTCCAACTGGACCTCGAGGAGAAATTGGTCCAGCCGGTGTTGATGGAGAACGTGGTATACGTGGTCTCCCTGGTCAACGGGGACCTCAAGGACCTTCTGGTGAAGTTGGTCCTCAAGGTCATGTCGGTATGCCCGGAATAGTAGGTCCACAAGGACCACGCGGTCAAACAGGACCTAAGGGAGCGGCCGGTCCAACTGGTAAACGTGGCGAAACTGGTTTCCAAGGTGTCCGTGGTGAACCTGGTGAGCCAGGTGAAACTGGAGACACTGGACCCCCAGGTCTCCCTGGAGACACTGGTCCCCCTGGTGAGGTCGGTCCTGCGGGCAACATGGGTATGATGGGTCCACCTGGTGAGCCTGGTCCTATGGGTCCTCCTGGTCGAGAGGGTTCTACCGGTGTCCAGGGTCCCCAAGGTCCCGCTGGTCCACGCGGTGACACTGGTCCTAAAGGCGCCACTGGTCCTCCTGGACCTCCCGGCCCTCAAGGTCCTGCTGGTCCTGTTGGCTTGCGAGGTGAAGAAGGTCCTGCTGGTGAGGAAGGTCCTGTCGGTCCTCAGGTTAGTTCTTTTGAAACACTATGCTACTTATGTTTTTAAGTAAAGGAAGCATTTTAACTTTGAGTACTTTTGATAGGGTCCACCTGGTCTTCCTGGCGAATTTGATACTAACCTCATGGAGATCTTTCTGCGTCCAAATTCCTCCGACTCCTCCATGATGGTGATTAAAACATGTCATTAAGCTATTAACTCTTTAAAGAAAATGCCTCATATGTTCTTCCCTTTTTTTATAGAGCGACGAAGGTTACAAACCCGAGGATGGTATTCCATTCGAAGACAGAATGCAAGGAGATGCACCAGAGCCTGATGAAAACCGCAAGGTACTCCCTTAAAATAACTTTTGGGTGTTGATTTTGTGAGGGACTCTTATTGGTTAACCCTGTGTACTTTCTAGAATGTCGATGCATTCACGGCTTTGACTCGAATTTCAAACCTCGTTGATCGTCTTTACAGAGCTTCCGGAACTCAACGGTATCCTGCCAAAAGCTGTGCTGATCTTAGCCTTCACACGCCCGATTCTCATGATGGTAAGCGTTACTTGTTACAGTTAATTAAGTGAAATCTATTTCTAAAAGCTATTCTCAGAATGATTAGGCTCTTTGTTATGGGGTATGTAGATATATCTTTGCGAAAACCATTTAAACAGCCCAAAACAACCCATTTTTGTTGTTTAAGCAGGGTTGAAACATAACCGTCAAATTCGTTTTCAAGACTGGATTTGAATTATGAAGTAACAACATCTTAAACGTAAAGTTGGTAATAACCAACTATCGGTAAATGACCTAAATTTTCGGGGACATAAATTCGATTATCCATTTTCTGTAGACCTTTTTGGAGGGGTTAGATTTACATGCAAAATCTCTCATATCTCAATTTTACAATGAATAATTAATTACCACCAGATATTTATTTATTTCAAATGGCAGGCATTCGATAGTTATCATTAGCTCTTTAGTTGACTTCGGGCTCCACAGAAGGGAGGAACGTTAAAGTGAGAAAAATTCGAGAGGGGGTAAAGAAGAGCGATTCACAGATGTAAAGGATACAGACACAAAGGCAGAGAAAAGGCTAGATGAGTACCGTGGAAGGGGTCGAATATGACATACAGTGGGGTCATAGTAATTTGAAGTCAGAAGTAAACTGCCAGTTAATAGACTTTTTTGTCGTATGAGTATACGTTGCCCAGTGTGCACCACGTGGAGGTAAGTCTATTGCACACTCCATTAATACCAGATATATTGCCCTTTGAAAAGAATACAATTTAGCGATTTAAGTTAATTTCAAAATGGCACAAGTACGTCTGCTTAATTTGAACTAATCAATAAGCGTTTGGATATTGATTAACTATTTCTCAGTAGTTGGCTGCCCTAACTCGGTAGTCTTTTGATTAAATAAAGGTGAATTCTACATTGATCCCAACGGAGGCCACTGGCGGGACTCTTTCCCAGTTCATTGTCAACTTGAAACGTTGACAACTGTCATTCCGTCACAAATGCAACAAGTTGAGTCAGTTGGTCTGTCTCGCATCATCAATAAAAGGGGCACCTTCTGGTATTCCACAGCGGCATTCAAATCTGAAGAAGCAGTAAGTAACTAATTGATAATGCACAAACCATATCTTAACAATGACTGGCAATTTATTTTCACATTGATTTAGGAATTGCCCTACCAAATAACAAAAGATCAATTGGCCCATCTTCAGTTGTCAAGTGAGACCGCTACCCAGAAGTTGGTGATTGGATGCCGATACTATGAACCAGGAGAAAATATTATTCTTCTTGGAGATGGTAACCAAGCTCTTACTCTCAATGGCACCGACTCTGTTCTTGTGGTCATTGATATCCTTGAGAGCACCTGCTCGGTAAGCTAATAGCAATTCTCATTGGAAATCAATATGCTCTTACTGAGGCAAAGACCTAGTAAAGGTATTTTACGTCCACTAGGAAACTATACGATATGCATTCCACGAGTTAAGTAAGAAAATCGATATTCCGTTGAAAAATTCGTTGGAAGTGTGTTGCTTTGTTTGTGGTAGCACGGTATACAACTTTAGTTCGTTGTAACCATTGAAAAGAGACGTATGCCTACTTAAATTACTCAAACATTCAGATAATTTCTTAAACAGGAGTTTATAAGGAAGGTAGCTGTTTTATCTGACTTTGTTCTCCGTGGAATTAGCACCGACCATATAAACAAACCTGACCGGAAATAACCTTGTTAAATGTGACATATGTGAACATTGATAGTTTGCATGGTAACTATGCATAAAAAAATTAAATACGTAAAAAACGCTTCTACGTTTGTAAGGCCGTTGTATAGAACAAAGTTAATCGATTTTATATCTTACATTGTGAAAATCGAATCCGAACTTTTAGTCTTCTAGAATTCTGAAGTAACATGGTATTTAAAGTCCATTTCCTCGTATACCTCGAAATTATCTTCTTCACTTTTTCCCCCCTATCTCCTGGTCAAGGGATATTGTTTCTAGGGCGGAAAATAGCGATAACCAATCTGTGGAAGGAAATCACAACTGAATCTCTGTTCTACGGAAAGTGATTAAAAATTTAATTAATTGTATGAAGGCCAAGGTAATAACACCCTCTTGAAATATAGTGTAGGCGCCAATCGACTTATAATCTTCTCATAATTGATCGAATTTGAGTTTATTTATGACATCTTTGTTTGGAATTTCGCTAAAAAATGACATGTACATCCTGATGTCTTGTTGCCAATTCCTGCCTGTCTTTGGCAATGCTCTTAGAAAATTTTACAAGAGACCCTAATTGCATGGAAACATTAGCTTCAAGACTGGAGCTCCTCAGATTGTCTTCATTCCTCCCTCCACAAATATTATGTTGTAAGCCTCCCATCTCCTAGCCATTTCTCCTTTTTTTGCCTAAGTGGTTCAAATATCTGGGACCTCTATCCTAACTTCGTATTTTGTTTGCTGTTTTGTAGTCGAACAATTTCCGAGGTGAAATGGTGATCGAAATCCGAACTCAAATGACAAGCATATTGCCAATTCGTGATGTTCAGCTGTCCACACCGCGATCTCGGGACGCTGAAGTCAGTGTGACTCCTGGATCAGTTTTGTTTAGCGGAACCACAGAAAGAGTCCCAGTTGGTATAGGTCAGCTCTACGCAGCCGATGTTTCTCGTTTCCACGCCTTCAGGCGCTGAGACTGACAAACTCTGTTTAAGTGATTGTTCACCACTTGTCCGCTCGCATCCCCACCCCCCCACCCCCACCTCTCCGCCTTCCAGCTATCCTACAACTGCCCAAGTGATCAGCATTTTTCATCTCTTTAGCACTTTTCAATGAATAGTCTGCGTTAGCGTGCACCAGTGGTGAACTTAAAATTGATATAGAAAAAAGAACACTGAACCCTTCTATCCAAAATGCAACATCGGTGCCTGTCAGCTCATTCACATCCTGAATACTTGTCTTCTTTCTGACTAACCCCAAAATCATCTGTATTTTTATTGTGAATCGTTTTTCCCCCGTGTCCTGTGTGCATTGTTCACTAATATTTCTCTCTCCTCATATGATGTACCCAATTTATGTTGTTTTTGATGCAGTGAAACCTCTTAACTGTTGCAGCAGTTAAGAGAAATAGCCAAAAAAAGTGATAAAAAGCACTTGGGTTCTCCTGTTTTTACTACCCAATAAGAATTCTCGAACTGGATGTAAGGCAGAGACCTCTCCGATTTTCATAGCTCGTCAATAATGCTATATTTCAATAGAATGCAGCTACAATTGAGGTGGGGTGGGGTGGAGGTAGAGTTTGCTAACAATTTTGCCACTTTGATAAAGCAGCAACGACTCAAGCCTCAACGGACCTTAAGCTCAAAACCACAATGTTCGAATTGTGAAAATGACATTGCTCAGGTAAATAGAGTGGGTAGGGAATGATTGCCTACCAGAATGGCCAATAATTGCAACGATAATTGCTTCTCATTAGGAATGAGGCTGGAGATCAATAATTGCTAGTCGGGTGTATGAGAGAAATAACTTAGAGAAAATGCCGTTTGAAGATTTCATATCTGAAAAGGAAAAACACTTTTTAGACAATGAGTTGGAAACAAAACGCTCTAACTTCAAAGTCATCAAGCCTAAAATAGTTAAATCGATTAAGTTCATTAGTACCCCCCTGTTTGTAGGCTTTTTTGTAGGGAAAATTACTCTGACAGCAATCTGAATTTCATGCAATTACGTTGGTTAATACGCGTTTCACAAACCCAATCCGATGCGCTAGCAAATGGTACATCTATAGCAGCTTGTGTATGTATGGCTAACGATAGCACCAATCCTTTCTTCATAATTACAAAGAGACTGGAAATTAGGACACTACAAAAAAAGAAGCAGAATCATTACTTTATATGGGGGGTGTGCGATAGACTTACCTCCACGTGGTGCACCCTGGGCAACGTATACTCATACAGCAAAGAAGTCTATTAATCGGCAGTTGACTTCTGACATGAAAACTACTATGACCTCACTGCATGTCATAGTCGACCACTTCTACAGCATTCACCTTACCCTACTCTCTATCATTGTGCCTATCTCTTTTACACCTACGAATCACTCTTCGGTCCACCCTCATGAACTTTGATGTTTCTCCCCTCTGTGAAGTTCGAAGTCAACTAATAGGCTAATGATAACTATCAAAATGCCAACCATTCAAAATAAATAATAAAATCACTTTCAACTACAATGAGCTACAGGTGCTCTAATGCTACTCTACTTGCTTCAAGCAAATGGTGAAAGAGTTTTGAAATTAGAATGAGGAGGGTTAAAATTGTTGGGTAAATTTTTTAAACAGCTCACAAGTCCATTTTGGGAAGCCTATCCCAGCAGCCATCATGGCTAGAAAGGCACAATCAAAAAGAGACACAGTATTGCGAAACTCAATTTCTGTCATCATTCTCTTTATAGCCACTCCGTAAACTGGGTGGGCCTTAAACTTGTAGCAGATTGCTACTTTATTAAAGCCTGACCGACTCAGAAATCTCTATGGCAGATCCTCCTACATCTAGCTAGACTCCCAGAACCAGCTAAGCTATAGCCCGGCTATAAAGGAAACAGACGTGTAGCACGGAGCACGTTTATCCAGTACGAGTATTGCGGTTAAAAGTGCGTACACGCATGGAGCTACTCATGGTCTGGATGGGGGATTAGGTGGGTTCGATCATGATCAGGATGGCGGATTAGGTCAAACAAACAGAGGCTAGATTGGTCACTGTTTGTACGGTTGGGATTAGGTTAAACAGAGGTTGATGATTGGTCATTGTTTGTACGGTCCCTAAACACAGAGTTGTACGGCCGCACCTCCCAATCCTGGCGAGCAGACATGCAGGCATACGATGACGCACACAGCGATAACGTGTCCCACAAACTCATGACCCCTCAATTCGTAGGCGCGTAAATTCGACGGATAGGTTTTCAATTAATAATAATTTGTAATCTGTTTTTTTTTTGCCTTGACTGTTAATACCTTTTGGATAAAGCAAATTGTGATGAAACAATTATTATAGGGCGGTAAACAAACTTAATTAAATATAAGTTTATGCCTTTTTCTTTAAGTGATGCATTACCTGATTTTTGTCAGAAATAACTACTTATTTTAACGGCTAAACAAATAATTATCAATAAATAATTTTGATCAAAATGTCTTTAAATGTTGTGATTCGAATTAAAATCATGTCTATTTCTTCCCCAAAAGTTTTTTTAGTCTTTACATGAAAAAGTCAATTGTTCTTCTGTGTGGAAACTCTTTTTACCAATGAACCAATGAGAAATTTGCCGACTATTTCAATTGATTAAACGGGTAGTAAGTACCAGACTTCATCAACAAGAACTTGTCTAATAATGCAGTTAACGAATACTAGAATCAGCAACTGCAGAACATGTAGCATCGGATCCAAAATGCACTGAAGCAAGACTCCTTTGAAACCGGACTCTGCTTTGAAACTTCATTTTTGAATGCCTTCCATTTACCCTCTATTAGCCTTTACTATTACTCGACTTTTATGATTTATCGCGGTTGGGTTTATTAAAATATAATAAGGAATCATCAATTTTTCCAAGGTATTGAGACGACAAAGCATTTATAAAAACGGGCACAATATTAAAAATCCAAACAGGAATCCCCAACTTATTTCTGAAGAGTCGGATTGAACGATAGACTTACATCCACGTGGTGCACCCTGGACAACGTATACTCATAGCGCAAAAAAGTCTATTATTCGGCAGTTGGCTTCCGACTTCAAACTGCCATGACCCCACTGTATATCATATTCGACCCCTTTCACTGCACTCACCTCATCTTTTTCTCCACCTTTGTGTCTGCCTCTCTCTTTTACATCTGAGAATCACTCTTCTGTTTCTCCCCCCCCCCTCTCGACTTTATTCACTTTGATGTTCCTTCCCTCTGTGAAGCCTGAAGTCAACTAAAGGGTTTATGATAACTATCCAAACGCCTGCCATTTGAAATAAGTAAATTTCTGAAGAGTTTTATTGAACAAGGTACTTGTTCAAAATGATGCAACGAGCTATTTCCCTCCTCTTGAATTAACTAATATATCCTTTTTAATGATAAAAAATAATAAAGAGTGCATTTTACTGTTCGGATGCATGGTGATATAAGGAATGTAACTTTGCTCCCTTTGCTGAATAAAATTGAAAAAAAAAATCAAATTAACATTTTGATATGTGGCACTTTGGTCAGCAGTGTTCTCTATAAGACTTAAATAATTCAGGAAATGGGCATTTTGCCTTAGTGGTGGTGGTGGGGGGGGGGGGGG